GGGGGAGGGGGGCACAAGGAAGGTTTACGGAAGACATGAAAGGGATGCGCACCGCCGCCATTCTCGTCCGTTTCTCTTAACTCTGACAGTGTATCAAAAGGGGGCGGGGGTGGGGTGGGGGTCGGGCAACACAGTCTACCTGCAGTGGTGTATGTACAGAGACAAGGTAGCGCTTGCAGCATAAACTAGGTGGATAGACAGTGCCCGGGCTCTCTCATTTTCTCATTCTCCGGTGATATAGATATAGAAATCCTTGGCGGGTGCTCTCTTTATAGTTCTAGGGAACAGTCGGTGGTACCGACAACTGACGTCAAAAGCCCCTGGAGAAGAAAAATTGTGTGCCAACGGATGCGTAATGCAAGGTATTCTCGATGTATTTGAGACACATGGGGATGGGGACATTCTTCGGCAGCCAAAATCGACAGCCACTAGCATCAGCTGGCATTATGGCTGGAAAAATCGGGAGGAATTTGTATGGCACATTGACGAGTGGCATCATTTGTTAAAGAGTATTTTCGCGCTGGCCCGAATTTACGGGCACAGACAGTTTTTTATGGTTGAGGAATAGGTGGAGCTTAATTCGCAATTCTGTGAGCTTAATTCGCAACTCGATTTTGAGTATTGACCAGTTTTCATTGAATATCTCGGAATCTAAGGGAGATAGCAATATTTTTGTTATAACCTTTTTTGCAGAGCCGATTGAGAACTACAACAAATGTAATTACGAAAATTTCGTTATCTCCCTTAGATTCGGAAATATTTCTCAAAAACTCAATTGGGAAATAAGTCGACTTGAACCGTTTTACCACTTCGGCTAAAAATTCATACCCCGTCAGCCATTAGCATCAGCTGGCATTATGGCTGGAAAAATCGGGAGGAATTTGTATGGCACATTGACGAGTGGCATCATTTGTTAAAGAGTATTTTCGCGCTGGCCCGAATTTACGGGCACAGACAGTTTTTTATGGTTGAGGAATAGGTGGAGCTTAATTCGCAATTCTGTGAGCTTAATTCGCAACTCGATTTTGAGTATTGACCAGTTTTCATTGAATATCTCGGAATCTAAGGGAGATAGCAATATTTTTGTTATAACCTTTTTTGCAGAGCCGATTGAGAACTACAACAAATGTAATTACGAAAATTTCGTTATCTCCCTTAGATTCGGAAATATTTCTCAAAAACTCAACTGGGAAATAAGTCGATTTGAACCGTTTTACCACTTCGGCTAAAAATTCATACCCCGTCAGTATTGTCTAAATTAAATTTCGCAAAGTATTGATATTTTTCCAAACATTTACCTCTTATAAATAAAGAATAAAACTTGTTTGCAAAACGGTGGATTATTTTTTATGAGGTGTCAAAAAAATCGGTGATTTTTTCACATCTAATGAAAAAAAAAATCAGATTTTAATCTTGGATTACAATGGAAATGTTGATTTTCACATAAGACACTGTATTAAATCCTGATTTTTAACCATTTCTTCTTTGAAAAACCAAAACGATAATTAAATTGAGAAAAAAATTAGAATTTCGAACCTAATCGAGTTTTCTGCAATTTTTTTGCAGTTTTCAATAATCTTTGAATTTACCGTAAGGGTAGAGCTACTTTAAGGAGTCCTTTTTATTTGGATCTCAGGAGAAATTCCCGAATTTATCCCCAAAACAATATCGAATATTCGGATTTTTGGCTGGAGATGGCCCTCTTGAGGCGTTTGCGCGTGGAATACCGCGAGGTATATACGTGGGTTTACCTGCGCGTAACCAGTTGTTTCGCGGGGGCACAGAGAGGCCCGGAGCACTCGCCAGTTGGAGGAGAACGGGGGTGTGGGCGGAGGAGAGACCGATAACAATGAGCATTGTGATTTGCGCGGGAGGTGGCTCGGAGCCTTATTGGTCGGTTGAAGCTGGTATTCATCCTCCCACCCTCGGGCGGCCCCCATTGGATCCGGCGGTTTGGAATAGCGGGGGTTGCCCACGTTAGTAGTCACCGTCTTGCTTGAATCAGACAATAGGTGCACAATGCGCAGTCCCAACAGGTTTCGGCAATCAGAGCCAGGCAGAGTCACAATGCAGAATTCAAATTATTTTCAAATTATTACATTCAAAATTAGTTGACTGTATACTACAATTTTTTAACTGTTATTAAACTAATTATTAATCAAAGTTTTTTCATTTTTCTACACTATAAATTGAAACATTTTAGATCATCAAATTTGTCAATTAAATGCGTGAGAAAAATTTGAAAAAAATCGTGGATATTCAGCGTCATTCAAATCACGTTTTGCGAAGAATTATTATTTTTTTAAACATTCGTTGTTTGCAAATAAATAATTGAAATTTTTTGAAATTTCGGAAACAATTTTTTTAGACATGAAATCGATTTCTGGGAAAATTCTGAATATGATTAAATTTGTTAGGATTTCGAACAAGTGGTTTTTATGGGGGAAAATTAATTGTTTATAAATTATTTCTAGAAAATGCTCGTGATTGGCAAAAATTGCAATTTTTTAATTATTTTACTAATCTTTCTTCAAATTAAATTCACTAATTTTTTTTCAAATTTTTAAAATGTTTTCTCACAGTTCAAGAGTCAAAATAGGGCTGAACTGGAAGTGCTAATGTTCAACTACAAAAATAGAAATACATTTCACTTGAAAAAAAAATAGCCAAAATACTTAGATATTCTTAAATTGATCATCAATCAAATTGTTCAATTTGTCAAATATTTCATAAATTAGTACTGAACTTCGCAAAAATGACGATTATTCGATTAATCAAAAAATCAAATTCCGATATTTATAATTAATTCTTCAATAATAATGGAAAATAAAAAATTATTCTCAAATTTAAGTAAAAATTAATCTACGCTAAAACTTCAACTAATCTACAGTAAACTTCTTTTAATTTTACTAGAGTAGCAATTTTTTCCGATCCCTGCCGGCAATTCCGCGGTGTTTCATCGTTTTAGAAAGATGTTCAACTGCTCAAAGATGTTCAAATAAAAATTTTATTTGAACGGTTTCTCGGTATATCATATAACAATATCCTCAATGATTTAATGTAATAATTCTTTAATTAAACGAACGAACAACCCACCAGTTGTTCTCACATCAAACATTTTCCATCGAGACCGTATTACCATCAAAAAACGAATCCCAAAGCCACTGCCCCCCCCCCCCC